TTCTTTTTTTTTTTTTTTTTTCAAAGTTTTGAATAATTTTATTCTCAGAATGGTAGTGACTCTACATTTCATTTCCATATACAAAAGTCTTTTTTTTTTTTTTTTTGTGAAAACTTTATGAATAGCAGTGAAACATTGTCTGATGTGATGCTGGAAGATGAGCTCTTCAGGATGGAAAGCTCACAAAATACAACTGGAGAACAACTGCCTCCTCAAAGTAGAGTTGACTTTATTGACATAGATGGAGTAAAGCTTTCAAGACCTATATTTGCTGATAAGATGTGATTCAAAATGAGAAGAAACAACTGCAAACATCCATTAATAATCAGAATGTGTAAAATACAAAATATGAGTCTAGGAAAATTGGAAGTTGTAAAAAAAAAAAAATGGAATTCACAAAAATTTATATCCTAGACATTCGTGAACTGAAGTGATCTGGCATTGGACATTTTGAATCAGGCAATGGGTCTACTATGTGAGAATGACAAATTGAAGATGAGTGCAATCACATTCATAGCCAAAAACAGTGTTCTAGATATATCCTGAAGTACAACATTGTTGCTGATAATACAATATACATATATTTACAAAAAAGACCACACAGTATGATTATTATTCAAATTTGCACACCAACAACAGATGACAAGATGAAGAAATTGAAGATTTTATTATGAACTTCTGCAGTCTGAAATTGATCAAACATACAATCAAAATGCATTAATAATTACAAATGATTGGAATGTGAAAGTTGGAAACAAAGAAGGATCAGTAGTTGGAAAATATGACCTTGGTGATAGAAATGATGCCAGATATCACATGATAGGATTTTACAAGACTAATGACTTACTCACTGCAAATACCTTTTTCAACAACATAGACAGTGATTATACATATGGATGTCACTGGATGGAATATGCAGGAAACAAATTGACCATATCTGTGGAAAGAGACAATGGAAAATATCAATATCATTAGTCAGATGACTAATATATCATTTAGTCAGATGACTAAATATCAGCCAGGAGCTGACTGTAGAACAGACTATCAGTTGCTCATATGCAAGTTCAAGTTGAAGCTGAAGAAAATTAAAACAAGTCACAAAAGTGAAAATATGTCCTAGAATATAGCCATCTGAATTTAGAGAGCATCACAATTTGACATATTTAAACACTAATAGATTTGAAAACTAATGACCAATGATCAGATGACTTGTGAGATTACATCAATGACATAATACATGAAGAAAGCAAACTGCTATTGAAAAGACAGAAAAGAAAACTAAAGACCAAAATGGATGTCAGAAAATACTCTGAAACTTGCTCTTGAATTTAGAGCAGCTAAAGCAAATGGAAGAAATGATGAACTGAAATAAAAGAGCTAAATGGAAGATATCCAGGTTTGGTTTGAGAAGACAAAGTGAAATATAATACTGAAATGCACAAATACCTGGTGTTAGAAAATCAGAAGAGAAGAACACACTTGGCATTTTTAAAGATGAAAGAAGTGAAGAAAAAATTCAAGCCTTGCATTGAAATATTGAAAGTTTCTATGGGCAAAATATTGAATATGGTTGGAACCATCAAAAGAAGATGGAAAGAATACACAGACTCTGTACTAAAATGAATTGGTTAATGTTCAATCATTTCAGGAGATAAAATATGATCAATAACCAATGGTTCTGAAGAAAGAAATCCAAGCTGTGCTGAAGGCATTGTCAGAAAACAAGGCTCCAGGAACTGATGGAATACCAGTTGAGATGTTTCAACAAATGGATGCAACACTGTAAGTGCTCACTTGTCTATGCCAAGAAACTTGGAAAACAGCTCCTTGGTCAACTGACTGGAAGAGATCCATATTTGTGCTCATTACAAGGAAAGATTGCCCAACAGAATGAGGAAATCATCAAATAATCTCATTAATACCACACACAAGTAAAATTCTGCTGAAAATAATTCAAAAACAGTCACAGCAGTACCTCAGTAAGAAACTGCTAGAAATTCAATCTGGATTCAGAAAAGGATGTACAATAACAGATATCATTGCTAATGTCAGATGGAAATTGGCTAAAAGCAGAAAATACCAGAACAAAGTTTGTTGTTGCTGTTGTTATGTGCCATCGAGTCGGAACCGACTCATAACGACCCCTCCTTGGGTTTCTGAGGCAGTATCACTATGGAAGTAGATTGCCCCATCTTCCTTCTGAGCAATGGCTGGTGGGTTTGAACCCCAAGTCTTCTGGTTAGCAGTCAAGTGCCTTAGGCACTATGCTACCAGAGCTCCTGTTTTATTAAACATACAAAGCCATTTGACTGTGTGGGTCATAACAATTTATGGATAACATGGCAAAGAATAAGAACTGCAGAACATTTAACTGTGCTCATGTAAAACCTTAACATAGACTGAGAAGAAGTTCTTTGGACAGAATAAAGGGATATTGTGTGGATTAAAATAAGGAGAGATGTGTGACAGGGTTGTATCCTTTCACAATATTTATTCAATCTCTATGCCAAATAAATAATTCAAGATTCTGGACTATTTGAAGAAGAATGAGGAATCAGGTTTGGAAGAAGATTCATTAATAACTTGCAATATGCAGGTAGTTCAACACTGCTTGCTGAAAATGAAGATGACTTGGAGCACTTACTGATGAAGATCAAAGATTACAGACTTCAGTATGGATAACATCTCAACATAAAGAAAATAAAAATTCTTGCAACTAGACTAATAAGCAAAATCATGAAAAAAGAAAAGATTGACATTGTCAAGGATTTCATTTTGCTTGGATTCTCAATAAATGAAATGTTGAAGTAAATAAATCAAACCATGTATTGCATTGGGCAAATCTGCTTCAAGATACTTCTTTAAAGGGTTAAGAGGCAAAGATATCAGTTTGAGGACTAAGCTGTGCCTGACTTAAGCCATAGTATTTTAAATTACACCATGCATGCAAATACTGAACATTGAATCTGGAAGACTGAAGAAGTGATGCTTTTGAATTATGATGTTGGTGAAGAACATTGAACATAACATAGACTGTCAGAAGAATGAATAAATATGCCTTTGAAGAAGCAGTCAGAATGTTACTTAGAAGTGATGATGGTGAGATTTTTCTCAAATATTTTGAACAAGTTTGTGGATAAAGGCACCGTGCTTTATAAAGTAGAGGGCTATCAAAAGGAGAAAAACTCTCAATGAGATGGATTAACACTGTGGATTCAGCAATGGGATCAGACATTGCAACAACTGTACAGATGGCAGAGGACCAGACAAGATTTCGTTCTGCTGTATGTAGTGTTGCTATGTGTTGCAACTGACTTGATGGCATTTAGC